CCCGGGGAGCAAATATTACACGACAAAACTTGGAGAAAGAAAGTTGTTTCAAGAGATGTAAATATAGGGGCGCCAGGGTGGCTCAGTGGGTTAAGCATCCGACTTCGGCTCGGGTCACGATCTCAGGTCTGTGAGTTCGGGCCCCACGTCAGACTCTGTGCTGACAGCCCAGAGCCTGGAGCCTGCTTCGGAATCTGCGTCTCCCTCTCTCTCTGCTCTTCCCCACTCGTGCCCTGTCTCGCTCTCTCTCCATCAAAGATAAATAAACGTTCAAGAAAAGAGAGAGATGTAAGTCTAAAGGTAAAACTCAAACAAACATACAAAATGGGGCTACCGAGAGAAACCTTAAAAAGAAGCGCGTACGCGTCACATAAAGAAACGACCAGCTGCCTGTATAATGATCGACATACCTAATAATCGTCGTGCGGAGAGCCTTTCTGAGGGCGTTTAAGCCAAACACACCAGTCCCTTCAGTGAGCGTCCATGGCTGCAGTTACTTCTCATCTGCTGGGAAGGCCTAGAGGGCCACCCCTGGCATGTTTTGCTGTCAAGGGTGGGGTGGGGCCCGCGCGGGGTGGGTTCAGGAGACCGTCCTGGAGGGCTGGGGTGGGAACAAAGGGTGACGGTGCCAGAACTGGGATCTGGTGTGCGTGTATGCTTGGGCCTGACCTGGGTCACAGGACTAGGGAATGGCCAGTAGCCGTCCGCACTCTTCAAGGGAGCGCCCTGCCTTCCCTGGGCCCACGGGGTGGCCTCCCAGGCGGCCGGGTCTGACCCCGGAGCCACAGAGCTGACCGCGTGGCCTCACTCCCCGTGTCCAGGGCCAGGCACCACGGAAACGATGATTCTCTTTGCTCTGCTCCTGGTCACGGGCCTGCCGCGGGTGGAGACAAACGTCACCGTGTCTGGAAAACAAGGTAAGTCTGGGCCCCTCAACCCCCTGGGCTGGGAGAAGGAAGCGGGCCAGGATGCCTCTGCAGACACGGGGTGGCCACCCGTGTCTGGACCCCGCGGGGGCCCCAGGGCGGTGGCAGGCACGGGGGTCAGGTAGCAAGAGAGCGTCAGGAGGGCAGCCTCTGTATTTGGACACCCGATGGGGGAGCCTCTTGATTTGGGGCTCCCCTGTCGAGGGCCGGCAGGAGTGGCCGGAATCCTGGCTTATTCCCCAGCACCGTGCTGTCCCCTCAGTGTCCCTGCCTTCCTGGGAGACATCAGGCTGGGCGCCACGCGTGGCCCGGCCCTCACAGGTCCATCCAGGGCTGTGTCAGAGAACTGGACCAGCCGCAGAAGGGTGACCGGCTTGTCCCCAGGGAGCGGGGAGCGAGTCCTGCCCTAATGCAGACCAGGCAGCGGGCCACACCCAGGGGAGGGGATGCAGGGCCTGGGGCGGGGGAGGGAGGAGTGGGGAAGGTGAGTGGGAAGGGCCCTGGAAGGCAGATTGCAAATCTCTTGAGCCATTGAACTTGAGGTGCCGTGTGTGCGCGTGCGTGCCTGTGTGTGTGGGTGAGTGTGTGTGTGTGAGAGGTAGGGTGAGGGCGGCCCAGGGGAGAATACAAGGACTCGGACCCGTGGTTTTGTGCTCCCTGGAGGAGGGAGAGATGGGGGAAGGGGCGGTGCTCATCCGATAGGCCTGGAGAGCGGTGGTGTTTCACTCTGGTTTTCTTCCCCTTTCAGCTGCAACCCTGAAGTGTCACGTCTGCGAGATAGAGAATAGTTTCGGTTGCACAAATCCATCCAACTGTCCTAGGGATTTTCACTTTTGTACTTCCGTTGCCGTGAGTGAGTATCTCCGTGCATCCCGGGTTCACGGGAAAGTGAGTCAATCCTTTCAGCAGTTGGGGTCTGTGGGGTTTTCTCAACAGGGAGTAACTAAGGTAATCACGTTCGTTCAAGAGAAACGGAGGAAAGTCCTGAGACGTCAGAACACAGGCAGGTGACAGGCCAGCTTGCGTGAGAGCCGTGCCGACGGAGGGTGGGGCGCCAGGACTGGACGCGATGGAATATTGGGGTGCGGGAAGAAAAGCATAGGGTTATCTGTATTCATTTTAAATGAACGACGAAAGCCTTCATTTCAACCGCCCCACCAGAAGTGCTGTTACAAGAGGTGTATGTAATGAGGGGCGGGGCTTACGCTATGTTCTGGAGGGAGTGTTGTGTGCTTTAGGTCGGGTGGAGACCACCTCTCTGTCTGGCGTATGTCACCCGGGAGCTCCAGGCCGCATGAAGCCCCCGAAGGGGAGTGCGGAGGCCCAGCAGCGCCCGGCGCTCGGCGCTCGGAGGCAGAGTGTCAGCCCCTACCGGCGGGTCCGCGTTCCCGGAAACACGCGGGGTGCCGAGGGGGTGCTTGGGACTCGCGCCAGCCCCGCGTGAACGTCATCACCTCGTAGGGAAAAGCGATTGTCACCGCGAACCACAGATGAGGCGAAGCCAGCAGCGTGACCCCGCGGCCGGGGCGGAGCCGGGCCGTGTACAGCAGGCTCGCGGTGACAGCGCCGGCCCAAGGAGAGGCCGGCGCTGAGCCCCGGGCAGTGGCCAGGATGGGCAAGAGCCCCTTGCTCCCCTGCCTGTCCCGTGGTTACAAAGTCCAGAGTGACCTGGTGGTGAGCGGTGAGGCCTGGGAGCCTGTACATCCCCGGACGGAGAGCCCCAGACCCGGGCTCCCCCTGTACGTGGACAGGCCAGCCGGGGAGGGGCGGGGGGGGGAGCATCTCGTGGTCACACTGCACGCAAGCCACCCCCGCCCCCAGAGGCAGCCGTGAACACAAAGGCCGGACCCCTTCCTGGGCAGTGGCTCCCGACCGCCCTGTAGACTAGGGGCCCCTTCAACCGTGGCCTCTGAGCGGGGGCACCGGAAGGTCGGGATGAGACGGGCACAGGCCCGAAGCGCTTTGGTGGCGCTGCTCTCAGTTCACGTGGTGCCTTTCTCTTCTTCACTTCCTGTCAGGAATCTCTCCGCGTTTCTTCTATGTTTCGAAGCAGTGCTCCAGGTATTG